AATATTAATGTATGGAGCTTACCATTGATTTTTACTAGATCACAATGTTATGTATTCATAGACCTAGAATATACGATTATATATAGCCATGTATAACAAAAAATGTGTAATTAATTTTGCTAATTTTACACTAGTTTAAGTATACCGTACATTATGTACACATTACACATCAACAAACGCGTTTATACATATTCATATGACGATCAAACGATCCGTTCAAAGGTAATTGCCCGAATCGTAAGAACTTTCCAAAGACAGACCACGTGTTTGGCCTCGATTCTTTTGCGGCTTCTATAAAAATAAGAACACTCGCCCATTAGGTGTATTCTATTAAATAAATTAGCGGGATAATCCTATACCTATCGTTTTAGGACAATAAAATATAACAGAATATAGTCTTCCGACAATTTTATTAACTGGTAGGTACATCTTTAGGTATTTATTAGAACCTAAATATACCTTTTTATTTACAGCACTAAATACACAATAATTATAATAATACGGGATACTCATAGGTCTAAATGAGTTTAGGTTATACTAATATTGACAATCCGTTTTTTGTTGTGTTCTCTTAGTAGAAAAATAATATTCTGAATAGGATTAGATGTTCTGATAAAGTATAGTGGAACAGTAAAATATTTTTTTTTAGGTTTTAAAAACAATTCGGGAGTTATAAAAATTACATTTTTTTAATATTAAATAAACAAATAAATATTAATGAAACATTACAATTTTTATATGTGATATTTCTATTAATATAGGCATTTAAAATGTTTAAATATAATTTAACAAATTGTAGCTGTTATTAATTAATAATGATTATATATTTTTGTAAAATATAATTAAGAAAAATCTGCTTAAAACCGTTTTCAAAATATTATCTAAATAATTTGGGACTTTAACAAATAGTCTGAAATCTGTTTCAAAAATGTATATCAACAAAATTTCATAAAAATATTATTAACTTAATGTTAATGATATTTTTTTATGAATCGGGATGCATCTACAAAAATTGGTGACAACCAGACACTGTATATTTGACCCTACATAATAAGTTAAGCTAACTAAATTTTAACTGACTTAACTATACATTTTTCAGTCAACAATACTATTTATTAATTCAGTAAAGTCAACAAGACCTTTGTTGTATTGGGCATATATTTTATCAATTAAAAAACTTACATTCATAAAATACTTATATAAATATTATTACGCTTCCCAATTAATGCATTTTTACATGCTATAATATAAAGTATAAACTCACTATAAATATTAGGCTTATCTGTTGAGAAATATTTATTTATTTATATATAAATAATCTTGTATTATTTCCACCCCTTTCGGATGCCCCAACATTTAATTTAATTCTAATATACACCAAACCGAGTTGTTCGCATAATTGCGTGTACCTCTAAGGCTCTTCAAAACTATGAAATAATGGGATATGTCGGTTAAAATATATAATGTAACGAACATACGGGGTGTGTAGAGAAGCTGTAGTAAATCAAAATGTGTTTTAGGGACCAATTTTTAACGCGAGTAAAAAAATGAAACACTGTAACCGCTTTGTTCAATTGCCCCCGAATAATATTATAAGGCCACATTTAGGGTTTTTTTCTACTCCCCCTTTTCATATATATATTGAATCGCTGTAAACAATATAATAGCTAGGGACCTACAATATACAAGGATGGTCTCGCTGAGATTATATATATACCTATACTATTTTGATCAACAAACATCATACAGGGTTATACACACACAGAGTGTACATAATACATTGATTGTATTAATATTAGATATGAGTAGATTTTATTTGGCATTTTCGTTAAGTAGTTCGTATAGAGATTTTATACATGGGAAAGACGGTATACGTTTTCGAATAATAAAATTAACGAAAAAGTTGTTTGTTTACTTCTTGTATAAAGTATTGAAAGTTGAAACTGAGAACTTAAGTAAAAATATTAATTATTTACCCACCCGTTACACTAGTGTACATTATATTTTGATAAACATAATATTTACACGAAGACTTATTATTTGTTACACATTATATTATTACCTATTATTATAATTATGTACTTATCGCATTGTTTGAAATGTCCATTTAAGCAAAACTGTCCACTGTCATTAAAAGAAATAAACCATTACTAATTGTAAATTCGCTCTACCACTAAAATATACCGTTGCGTTTTTAAGATGTCCCTTGTGGCTTTAGTGTTGTGGTTATAACGCTATTACTACCTATTGCATTTTCCGGATGAACGCAGACCGCAGTCATGTTTTAAAATGACTATAGGTACGGTAAGTATAATATAATAACAAGCAAACGGTACCTGTGACATTTATTCAGCTACATAGCCACCATAGCACCAACGCGCGCGGTAAATATCTGATTAAAACGTATTAAGTATACTTAATACACAGTAAGTACGATACAGTACAGTAAATTAAGGATAAAGTATTCAAATAAAGACAGAAAAATAAAAAATCGGTAATTTGAATTCTTGTGTAAACATTTACCAGTCACGGATTTATGTACGACAAAGCCCAATGAATCACCTTTATTGCAAACAAATGAGGTTGATGCGAATCTCGAGATAATTATTGAGATGATACAAATTTTATTTTAAAATAAAGTAATAAATATAAATTATAATATTAATGATTATAGACTTTGGTTGACATTTTGCATAGATACATATTTTATAATGTAACACATTTGCTTTTTGCACTAATTAATACAGACTGTAAATAACATTTTGAATAATAATAATAATTATTATCATTATGTATGGGTATCAAATAGCGTGGGTATATATAACTGATTCTATTGCCATGTCATTACCAATTAAAGTTCTTTGTTCTTATATAAATTATTTAACATTATCACTGAATATTTTATACCCCACACTTTAAGAGAGAAAGAACAACTTGTATTGATATAACGTTAGGCTAGCATTGCTAGGTGCTTGTTAAACGGGTTGTCACATTAATAAATCACAACTTAAAGTTACACACATAAGATAAAGTTTATAATACTACGATTGTATAATATAAACATAATGATTAATTAACGACATTTTTATAAAATAAATATTGTATACAAATTAAAGGTTATAATTATTGGATTTGAACAAATAGAAACCTAAATTGTATAAACAAAAAAATTAATAATAATTCGAGTAAATCAATGTAGTGGTACTATAGAAAAAATAAATAAATATACTTTAAAATGTATATATGGGTATAGGTTGACAAGTAGGTTCATAAGTAGCAGAAACACAGTTAAATTTAATCATCCAGCATACAAATCTTTATGAATTATTTTAAAGAGACTTTCATTATTTAAAATCAAATTTTTTTCAAATCTTCTTACGTTTTTGCTTTTTTTAATAGATTAGGAAATAGAAGAGAGGCCGTAATGCTTTGTAAATCCCATATAATAATGAATGAGTTTCTCTTCATTCACTTCCTTGTCTTGATTCATTTTATTAGTCTATGATAATGTAGTCTATGATTGGATCGAGTATGAGACCTATTTACCTGTAGACTGTCAAGATAAAGCCTATTTTGGGCTTCTGTTTTCGATGCAACGACGCAATTCATATACTTGATGACTATACAATTTTAACTATTGTTAATTTTCGACTAAAAATTCTTATATGAAACATATTTAATGGTTTTTCAATATTTATTATTGAACGCGTATAGGTTCAACGGACTCGTGTTGTTAGGCTTAACGTAAGTCGATCAAATTAAAATAAATAGCTATATTTTATTAAGAAAATTTGCTCGGAAAAAAACTCCGTAGTTTTGTTTTTAGTTCTCGTTGATGAGGTCGTGTTGTTTCTTCGACGTTTTTAAAATAAATTTCCCCTTGGAGTATTTTTTTATTCGCATCTGACGTTTTTTCCATTAACAAACACTTTTACAGCGCAAATTTCACACACACGCGATAGTTCTATAATACAATAATAATAATAATAATAACAACAATAATATGTATACATCAGTTATGGTTCTCGAGTCTTGACAATAATTATTTTTGAATTTTACAGCACGCGTGTACCTATCCATTGTCAACGGGAAAAAGGGTGAGTGCGGATAAAACGCTTTGTCATTGGGTACACACGGACCGATGGACGCGGAGTTTTTTTTTTTTATATCCCAATTGAATTTTGAATAAACATCATTGTGTATGGTAAAAAAGTTGTATAAAAAATATAATATGCATAATATATTATATTAATGTGATGTATACAGCAACGTATTATGAATACGCGCGTATATTTTTGTCAAACACATAAGGTTTTGAGTTGAAGATGGGGTTTTTTTGGGGTAGAAGAACGGGGGTAGTCGATTGTGGGTAAGGTAGGTAGATAACGAAAATCGATTCGCGACCACGAAAAACGGGTCCGCTTTAATTTTTTTTTTCTTTTCGATTGGCTATTAATATTATTATTATTATTTGACCCATTTCTTTTTGGGGTTTTGTCCCGGCCCGCGAGGCGTGTGTATGTGGCGAGGAGCCAAACGACGTTTCCGAAGGAGAAATGTGTAAAAATAAGGGGCGACGGTGGTCACGGAGCGGGGTGGGGTGGTATGCACCCCTGGTCTATCCCTAGGCGGTAGCCGGGGGCAGCATACCCGATACGATCGAGTGCGGCGGAATAGGCGGTAAAAGCAAAACGAAGAAACGCCACCAACTAGTACAGACGGACTGGAAACGAGCGCGCGCATATCATATAATATATATTATTATTATTATTATTATAATATAGTACATAGGATTGCGGTGTACGTTTGTGAGAGATGCGTCGCGGAGAAGTGGCGACGGCCGAAAGAGGTGGAGCGTCGGTCGAGCGGGGGGAAGGTGGTCGGCGGGCGTGGCCGGTTCGGACAACCAATCGGGCGAAGCCGGCGCGGTGAGAACAGAAACGCAACGCGCGCTCCGACCGGTCGTCGCCGCCAACAATGTCACTGCCGGCAAGCCACACGGTACTGCGATCGGCCGCGCCCGCAACAGTCGCGTTATAACCGTACGTCCGTCCGGTCGCTGCAATCCGGCAGTTACGCGTCGCGCGCACTCATTGCGATACGCCGCCGTCGTTGCAATCGTGCACAAACAGTATATTATTCTAATTATTTAATTGTACCTATAAATATACTTATATTTATACAAACCGGGACGAGGGGGAATCGATTTTGCGCGCATGGTGGAATCGGAATAGCGAAAAACTCTTAAAGTACGACTTTTGTGTGTTTGCGTGCGAGTGTGCGAGTGTGACTGCGCACGCGAATGTGCTGCATTTGAGTGCCCGCCCAAAGTTACTATTCCGTTTTGTTCGCACGCCGAGTCGTTGTATTGTCGAAAAAGCCGTCGCCGCAGCCATCACCGCCGCGGTCACTTTATACCTGATACCGCTGCAGTCACAATAATTACTGGCACCGTCGAACAGCCATCATGATTATGGAATCCTCCAACGCCGCCGCGGAATCGGCCGCGTCCGGAAGCGACCGCAGCAGCAACGTGTCCACCAGTCCGCCGCCACAAATGCCGATTTTGCAACAACAGCAACAGCAGGCGTCGGCGGTCAACAACGGCAAGTCCGACGGCAGCAGCCCGAAGGACGACAGGGGCAGTAGTCCCATGATGAGCGTCATCAATCCGCACCACGCCATCATAACGCCGACACGCGGCATGAGCCCACCGTCGCAGACCGCACCGCCCGTGTCTTCGATGAGCTCGCTTGCCTCCCGCATACCCATGGGACTGTTCAACTCGCTGGTGCACCACTCATCGCCTTTGGACCTGATGGCCATGGCACATCATCACCAGCAACAGCAACAACAGCAACAACAACAGCACCCGTCGCTGCAGCCGCCGCCGCGGTCCTACAACAGCCCTCCGCCCATAAGCAGCACCGACCCGGCCGCCAACGAATGCAAGCTGGTCGAGTACCGCGGACAGAAAGTCGCCGCGTTCATGATCGGCGGTGACACGATGCTGTGCCTGCCGCAGGCGTTCGAACTGTTTCTCAAGCACCTGGTCGGCGGCCTGCACACCGTCTACACTAAGCTCAAGCGGCTGGACATCGTGCCGCTCGTGTGCAACGTCGAGCAAGTACGCATATTGCGCGGCATGGGCGCCATCCAGCCCGGCGTGAACAGGTGCAAACTGCTCTCGTGCAAGGACTTCGACACGCTCTACAGAGACTGCACCACAGCGAGGTAAGCCGTCTTGTAGTTTTCACATACATAATATTAGACTTATCATCGAGTACACTATACATTCGGTGTTATACGTTAGTGACAATATGTGCGGCCAAAAAAAAAAAAAAAATACAAATTAAATATTGTTTTTAGGTCTTTCCCCAAAAACAAAAGGACTTCAACTATAATTTTTGTCATTATCTTAAAAAGCACCTTAAACGGGTACACTTACTTACACGGGTTTCAACGGAACGCCTCGACATTAGAAATAATTATAACCTCTTCGAAAATAAAAATAAAACCACCCGGCTAATAACAATCTTTCGTATTATACCTGTAGGTATACACCTACGTTATACGTACATTATCATTAGAGATAAACGCGGTGGCGTGCTACGTTTTTGAATGGCCACAATACGCACACCGGCAGCTCAGTAGCCGAGCAGAGTGCAGTATATATAACAACAGTCAACAACAATACAATACTAACTGCACCGGGATTCCCCTTTAACGCTCAAAAGCTTTGCGGAGGGTGAAAAACACGTGTTGCTTGCAGATACCCGCTTGCACATAAAAGCACAGACAAATCATATATAAATGCTTACCACCCTTGGGAGATACTACCGCCTGTGATTTTTTCCAAAATAATTTCGATTACCTACTGAAAATAAGACATGTCGGCATTTGACACTGTTTTTCCGGTGCTAATTCTACCGACTAATAGCGGTTAATAATATATTATACATCCACTGTACCGTACCATCATTTTCTGTACACCTAAAAACTGCTTCGCTTCACTAGACAAATCATTATAATATATATATATTATTATTTATATTATACAATATATTGTGTCTTATGAATTTTTGAACGCCGGGCTCGCCCGTATAATATAATATAATATGTCTGCGCTGCATTTGTGTGCTCGCGGTCAATAGGCGTAGAAAATTGCTATTTAACATGGCCGCGCTTGTACTTGCACGCGTCATATAGGTCCAAGCGCCGGCAAAATAATGTAATATTAACGTTACAAGCGCTTTTTTATTTATTATTATTATTATGTAGAATATACGGGCGCTATAGTGGCGGTGGTCAAAGGTAAAAAAACTTGTCGAATCGTCGCCGGTAGGGTAAAAAAATATCCGAAAGGGTTGGCACACACATATAAAGCTGACATACATTGGGGCAAACGTATAACGGGGAGGAATAGTTTATTATAGTATGTGTGTGGCGTTGAATAAAATTGCACCGGATCACGCGATTGAGGAGCATGCTATAGATCAATTAAGCCGGCCTGGGCATGGTAAATATGTATATAAATATTCATCGGACACTGCTCGCCCTTTTATATGCATTTTTATGTAACCTAACCGATTATATATGCAGTACCGTGTTCGAATTTAAATACAAATATTATATATTATATTATTAGTATACAATAATATGTTTTGAAGGAAGAGATGGGGGTAGGGCAGAGAATTGTGTGCAATGACTGAGTATGAGCTTCGATAGGTTTCTTTGGAAATTATATAAATGCGGATACGCAAATATAATATAAATATTTATATAGTAGGTACCGTTTTATACTATAATTTACATACGAGTATATGGGCGCCTACACTATACTTGCTACCGTCGAGCACTCCTACATGTTTAGGTACTTGCATGCATTAATGTTTAATACTAGTTTCCTAATGTGTTCCAAAATGGCTTCTGAAAATAGTGTGTATTGCAAGTTTTTCCCTAAAAACGTTTTATGTACAATAAAATAAAATTATACACATTTATCGTATATAGTTTGTTTAAATTGTATTTAGGTATTTATTTTTATGTTTTTCGACATATTTTGCTTTAACTTAAAACGACGACCGCGCACACCTCGCAGTATTTTGTAGATTTCAAACGAATAACTAACCCGAGTATAGAAAATGTACATATTGACAGGTATTATCATTGTGTACTTACATCAACACGCCCATAACAGATACGGATTTGCCCGTTTGATTTTTGTCCCGGTCCAAAAAGAAACTGCGCATTATTGCCCTTTCACTATACGAAAATACATAAGCTCTTATATACACATGTACATAGTGTAATAAGTTTATTAAATGACAAGACAATGCGGTGTACAGAATTTAATAATACCCACGATATCCGGTTTATTGTTGACCATTATTAGTGCAACACAATAATATAATTAAAGCGCGACGGTTAATTATTTTATGTTTAGAAATGAGTTTACCGGGAAATATTTAAACTATATTTTGTAATATACTTAAAATATGACGCTGTCGCTTAATGTTTTTCGAAAAATAATAATAATTAGTTACAATGTTGACTCGGCGGCTCCTAATTTGTACTTCTTTTTTTTTGTTTTACTTCTGTGTGTAGTGTGTACATTAGTATATGTATCTGCAGTTAGTGTACAATTTATTATGTATTTATTTATATACATATGGACAGAGAAGAAGCGATAGGGGAACCTTCGTCTCGGACAAAACAATTTCCCAACTAATTTGTGTGCAGGACTAATTATTACTGTTGTTGTCTGCTTGAGTATATTATATTAGCCGCTACTCGTTGGTTCCGCTTTAGCTGGTCGCTATGTACAAAGACGTTTAAGGACATATACATCAGTGTGAGTGTATTGCTCGTCGTGTATTAGTTATATAGACCTATAATAATAATAATAATATGTAATAGCGTTTTATCTATATACAACAGAAACCCGATCTACTGTTGGCCACTCGTTAGAGAGAAAAAAAAACAAGCCAGTTCAACAAAAAGGGTTCACACCGCTTAAAATATATACCGGCTGCTGCTCCCATGTATACAATAATATATACTACATAGTATATAGGTTTCCATTAACAAAAATGATCTATACACAGTATATAAAACGTTTTTCGAATACCATATAGGCTGCGGCGCGGTATAGTTATTGTTTCCTGTGTCAGCAAAGAAACCATCTTCTTCGATGGCGGAGGGATGGGGTAAAGAAACTTAAAAACCGATACCATAAAGAGTTACTTCCTTTTCTTATTTTTCAAATTCCCCAACAAGTAATTATCGTTATCGCCGTTGCTCTCGTTTGTCGGTGTGTGTGTGTCTATAATATGACGTATAGTACGTTTACCGGGAGCCATATGAACACGGCCGGTAGGTATACACACATGTCATGGACTTTTTAAATATTCATTTATTCTTGCCGACGAGTCAAAACTATGAATGACGGTCCATAATAACCCTCAGCCCGTCCACTGTCCAAGAGAGTATAGTTTGGTTGGTGTATTTTTGAAATCATCATGGGCACCGATCGGTTGGATCAGTCATATATATATATATATATATATTTATTTAATATACATATTATGTGTATACATTTTACAATTATACGCGTTTTAATTGTTTACCTTGAAGTTATTGAGCTAACTTGACAAATGTTTTCTTTAATAACAATAGTTTTGGCCTATTAATATTCAGCTGGTAAAGTGCATAGGTACCTAATTGTATATGTTAACATTTTATAACTAAAGAAAAGTCACTTTTGTTGTCTATGAGCACTCTCGGCTTCCCATTGAGTAATATATAGTAATAACTGCACATAAGTAACAACCAAAAAAACGGGTAATCTATTTTCGAATTCGATATACGCTAGTAACAAGCTTACATAATATACATATATATATAAGTAGGCACAAGAAACCGCAATGTTCTCGTTTGGCTATCTACTTTATGGGTTTTTTTTCCAGTTATTATTACAACTCGGCGTTAATTATTCTCATCTCGTTGACGATGCGATCAATTTAAACGGGAAACGGGTTGGTGCAACACCGGCTGAGATTTTCCTTAGCCGTAAACGAGGAAGACGCTATGATGCGGGATAACGCGCGTTGTTTGCGGGATGAATGAAAACGGACCGAGGCGGAGGCCGGGAAATGTACAGTGCGGTGTGGCGGGAAAGAGACGGCGGCGACACAGCAAACGACATTGTTACTGCAGTGGGAAAACTCGGTGGCGGCCACCAACAGGTGGTCGGGGGCGTCAGACAATCGTACAAATGTTATTGCGGAATACTATACAGACTACCATTACTACTACTACTACGGCGCACGTTGTGGCTGTGCACGATGAATGGAAGGCCGGGGAGTTTTGTTCCATTCCGAATGAACGCGCGCAATCGCATTGGCAACCGTCGTGGCAGTCACACACACACTATATATTTATATGTTATTGTACGTATATGATAATATTATGGTCTGTCTGGCAACGGGCGTTTTTCCCATTTCATTTCCAGTCCTACTGCGGTCGCCCGTTACCGCGGTTCGGCCGTCGGCGTGGTGTGGTTCCCGCGGCTTTGGAGAATTCGGCCGTCGCCGCCAAAACCTAATTTCATAGACCGTCTAATTTAGAATAGGAAAAATTTACGGGGAAATTAAAAAATAATTGTAAAATACAACGGCCACTAAATATCAAATCTCCGTCGGTGATTTCTCTTTATAGCGTACTAAAGCAACTTTAGCGCCACATATCGCAAGCGTTCTCGAAAACCTGCTTTTATACTTTACTGTTCAATAGAAAATGTGGTCTCAGTATGTGCATATAGATAGTAAACGCCAAAGAAACTCGTTAGCGCTGAATTTTGGCTAAAAATATTTATACAATATCAAAATCCGGCATATTATAATACCGTTAAAATATCTGTCATAAAATGTATAACACCTACATTATAATACAACAATAAATTGGTTTAGCTATGTGCACCACGTTAGATATAGATTATATATGATTGTATATTTACACTAAGGATAGAGGTATAATGATGGTCTACAATGCATATACGCACATCAATATATTATACTGGTAACGCTATAATTTTTTGTCTCCACGTGGGACAAGACGTGTGGATTTCATATTATATTCCATTTATTATAAAACCGGTACAAAATTTACTTCCCAAACCATTATATTTACATATATATCGCTTGAATCGCTTATACGTCTTTTATTATATTATA